TCACCGATGCCAAGGTCCATGATATCCTTGAACGAAGCCGAGCATTTGGACGCGCTGTGTTTCCTCAGAATGAAGATGATGTTGTAGCAATCAACAAAGAAAAGACATTGACTGCGAGCTCTGCCTCGAAACATCCAACTCACAAAAGCGTGCTGACTTCGCCACAGGACCAAAAGATATTGATGCAGATTCCTCAATTCATGGTTCAATACATCAACTCGATTTTCAATCCCCCACCGTATGGAAACTGTGGTTACTACGCAATCGCAGCAGCTGTTCAGTGCTATTCTACAGAATCATATCTAGATGTTCGACACAAGTTACTAGCTGAGCTCAAGGAACATACCGCAGACCACCAATCTCTCATTTCTACTGCTCGGACTCGGCCTGCTATGACGACACGGAAATATCAGTCTTATGCCGCCGAGGTGATACAAGACCTTCTGGTTCGACTGGATTGGAAAGAGGTCAAATGCACTGAGGAATACTGGCTGCGGCTGCCATATTTAGGCTATGTCATTGCGAGTGCGTATGATCGGCCAACAATTGTATTGGATCCGAAAGCATCCAACTGTCAAACTTTTTTTCCTTATCGGACACCACCAAACAAGGAGAAGCCTATTGTACTGGCTTTTGTCAATGGCGACCATTTTGTTAGCTTAGCACCCAAGGTTGCATCGATCCCATTTCCAGAGGTGTATGGTAAGTGCAACAACTCGGCCATGCTGGACACAACTACCATACCGAGTTGGATCAAAAGCTATCAAGTTCACTTAGATAGCTGGACTAATTACAGGCAGTCCACCTAGATATTCTTGTGTATCATCATGGTGTTCTTGTGTTTCTGTCTCTCTCTCAATTCACACTCATTAATCATGTCACGCTCGCTACTTTTCCCTTGTTTGTTTTGTCTTGTTCTCTAATGTGAATGTGTGTGTCTTTCTGTCATGTGCACCTTGTTCAGTTGACAAGTTTTGAACAAATCTAATGCAACAAAGAAAGAGAATCTTGACTACGTTACATTTCAATGTGCCAAATATGACAACTGAACCTGACCAAACTACACAACCGAACATGTAATTTTTGGGAACGCTATTGACTTCTTTGAAGTTCTCTGTGAAACCGGGAATGCCCGGTTTGGATTTGAAACCGGGCTGCGGAATGCTGCAGCCCGCATTGGGATCCGGTTTCCGGGCTTCGGATCTAGAAAAGCGGGCGCCAAATAGTGGCGTCCAAAAAAATATACTACAAAAGAGAAGAGAATGGTGAGGGCAACGCCGGGCCACTGCGCTGCCAAAATCCCGCAACGCAGTGGAACGCACCGCAGTCGCTATGCGCCGCACCGCAGCGCACCGCAGCGTTTCTACAGCTGCCAACTGCGCTGCCCAATTTGAGTTGAAAACCAAGGGGTTGCGGTGCGGACGCAGCCGTGGCTCGGGCAGCGCAACCCCGCAGCGGGCCGGGTAGCTGGGCAAAGGGTTTCATGGTACAACCCTTTGCCCATCGATCCATCGACCAATCAGCACATTCTCACCTTAAATCGCAACCTCCCTTCATCAGCAACCCCAACTAATCTCAAAAAGGCAAATACTCCTCAACGAACTGATGGTGATGATATCACCCTTGATTGAAGAAGCACTATGCTTCATTCCCGAACGATTCAGATCTTCCTTGTCCCGGAAGTTGGCAATATCCAGTTCCCCTCCATCGCCCAGCCTTCAACACTTTCTATCGGGTTTTCATCCATTCAAACTTATTTCTTATTCAATTGTCATGGCTAGTAGCCCAGGTGACAAACGTGATCAGGATAGTACCTCTCAATCTCAGAATAATGTGTCTTCCACTCCTTTACGTCGCTCCAGCCGTCCACCGACTCCTCGTAAAAGTCTCTCTACCATGATTCAGCCCTCGGCTGATAGCAGAATCACTATAACTCTTCCACAACATTCACAATCATCTACTACGTCTCGCCAGAAGAAATCGACTCAAAAACCTAAGGATGGAAAGAATTCTGGCAAAAGCGAAGTGTCTAACTCGCAGACCATCACTTCCAAGAAAAGGACTAGGGCCAGCAAATCGAAAAACACACAGCCTCAGGTAAGCAACGTTCTTTTGAACTTGTGATAACAGTTATTGCACATCACTAACAGCAGTGTCAATCTAATATATGACCAGCTGACCGAAGAAGGTGTACCTTCGGACACCGAGATGAACCAAGACTCGGATGATGGACTCACCCAGCGCCAACAAGCCAAGCGAGCAAAGGTTCTCGAAGTGAAAGATGATCAAGAGTTAGAGTATGATGCGGTTATAGATTACTTTGGTGAACCGGAATTCGGAAAGAACGATGTGAGTTTAAGTTTAAGTTTGTCTTTTCGTTGATATTCTCTTATTTGAATCTCATAGTGTTTCATTTTTACCCCTTTGTCCTACCGTTGTGGTGATCAATTTATGGGATCAATTAAAAAATTCACAATTACCAGTTTACCAGTTTATTAGCAGGATTCAGCAGGAAAGAAAATTCGAAATGGAGGTTTTTGATCAATTGAAGCTCTTGTAGGCTTATGTATTGGTCATTAGGTCAACATTACATCATTTTATTTCACATTATATATCAAGATCATTATAGTTTACTTACAAATTTATTACAAAAAGAAAGAAAGAAAAACATAAGAAAAATTCGAAATTATAGGTACAAAGGTTGGAAAATGGTTTTTAGGTTAGTAAAAATAAAGTTATGGGTATTATTAGGTTAGAATATGAAAGAACAACATTATATTATACTATGGCAATTTTAATCTTCAAGGTTGATAAGTAGAAACAGAAGTTATTAGGAAAAAAGCACTTTTTCGAAGTTGGTAAACAAGAGGTACACGTGTAGTTTGGTTGTGTAATAGTGGTAGTGATGGAATTTAAGGTTGCCAAGAGGATTTTCCGGGATTTTTAAGGTTATAGATGATGATGTCATATTACATGAGCAAGAAAAAGATAGTAGTAGCTGTGAAAAGTGAAGAAAATGGGTGAAATTCGTGGAAAATGGAGGTTTTCAGCTAATTACATATGTCAAATGACGTCAGAATAGGTTGGTAGATGGCTCATTCAACGCAGAAGAGTGGATTACATAATGTACAAACTTTAAATCATTAGTAACGGAGGTTTGTGTAAAAAGTTATGGGGCAAATAAAGAATTGGTGTGAATCTCGAATTTACAGTCACAAGTCACATGTAACACTAAAAACCTTAACTTCACAACTCAATATCTTACTCATCACTCATCAGAAGTAGGTCATGTAGGTGTCAGAAATGATCAGTAACACGTGGGCTACAAGATGCACTTTAGTAATCAAAAATTGGAGCACATCTGAAAAAATTCGTAATCTCAAAAATTGGTTTTCAGCTAGTTTACAAGGAAAAAATCACCTGTATTCATCATAAGAAGTGCTGTACATCATATTATTGCGTCATTGATCACTTTTAGCTGTGAAAATTACATCATTTATTAGTAACAAAATCATTACATTGCGTCATCATAGGGTTTTTAGGGAATTTTGGGCGGATTTGATTGGTTTTGAGGCTGTTGACCATTGTAAAAGTTCTAGTACATTGTTATATATACTTTGAGAGGGTTTTAGGACTGTTGTTCCCCTTTTTTTTTTCTTTATCATTTACGCCATTATTATTTTGTTTATCATCATAAACTTATTTTAATAGTACCTGTTCACTTAAATACGCCCTTTATTACAGTTATAAAGAGAAATTTACTTTAGTTTTATAGTCATAAAGACTTATTGGGAATAATATCAATCAGATATTGCTTATTTTTTTTCAGTTATCAATTGGGAATAACACTATAGCAGTGTTGATAGTAATACAAAGTGTGCTTTTGAAGTTATATTTCTCTGGTGCCTTATCAGTACTCAATACAACAGAGCTGTTCTGATTGTGTTGTTTTAGAAGAGCAGTCCTTAGACAACTTCTACTAGTCATTTTATTAGTAGACTATCCTCTTCCAGCTCTGTATAACCCTTGTTGGGTTATAAGTTCTACACCGTGTCGGTAGAACAAAGACCAGAGACCTCGATCTTATCCTTGCCTTTGGTGCGGCCAAACGTGCCGAGTATCTTTGGACTCAAACGGCAACCTGAAGGCACATCGAGACGGTTACATCACCGCCACTCGCCATCGACCAGTATGTACAGCACGCCAGCATGCTATCGACGCAGGTGCAAATCTTCCGCCTTCAGCTTACAATGAAGAACGCAAGCAGAAAGCTGAAAGCCAACGCCAAATGATGGAGTTCTTTGATCCGAAAAAATCCAAGGTTAAGTTCAAAAACGAAACCTTGAATCAGATCCTTGCGGTGTGGATTCTCGCTGGGGCGTTGCCTTGGAGCCGTATCGAGGATTACCACCTCCGCCTGGCGTTCCGATATATCCGAAGCGACATCAAAATCTTCGGACGAACTTGGGTGGCCAGAGAGGCCGCCGGGATGTATACGTCATTGCAAGATACCGTATTGAAAGAGATCTTGGTAAGGGTGATGTACTTAACTACTCTCTCCTTCCAAGATCGAATTCACTGACATAGTTTTTGTGGCAGAGGAACAAGGGCAGGTTTACCCTGATTCACGATGGTTGGACAACTGCCAACAACATCCATGCCTTCCTAGGTGCTTTGGTGGCTTTCATCGACGACAACTGGCGATTTCAAGTGCGACATCTTACACTCAAGCTGATTGCTTGGCACCACAACGGCAAATGGTTAGCACAACCGTTGGTTCACTTTATGAAGAAGCATAAGCTTCATTACAAGATGAGTATTTCAATTTTTTCCATATTTCATTAGAACAATAATCTAATTTAGATATGTTTTTCCCTTTTAATTCCACCACATGCTGGCCCAGGTCACCGATTCCGGTTCGAACAACATAACTATGGCCGAAGAGATGGACACTCAATTCCAAATTTCCGAAGACAAACTTCCTGACGCATCACACACCAATGCGCCTTCTACCACAGGATCTTACACATGGAGCCCAAGAACGGACTACGCACGGTGTTTCCTCCACAAGATTTCTTGCACCGTTAAAGGAGGTCTAGCCGAACTCGGACGAACTTCCCCATCGCGAACCCAGCTGCGTGAGTCAACCCTTGGAGCCTTTCCAATCACTGGCAAGTTGCCCGTCATTGCCGAAGAAGACGAAGACGAAGGCGAAGAGCAACCCAAAGTCATCAATATCGATACTGAAGAATCTGATCACGACCTTGAAGTTACACCTGATGAAGAAGATGAGTACGAGACTGACCATGATTCACAACATGAGGTCATACTCTCGGCTCCAGAGTAAGATGAAGATGTCAAGGATAATCACGATGCGGAGGACCCTCTTGAATCAGCAGCTGCACCTGAACCTTCAGGTGCTGAGTGTTTCAAGAACACCACTTCCAAACAGCACGCAAACAAGCTTAACGTTTTGATCAGTAAGGTGAGTTGACACATTGCTTTGAGGTCATATCGCTCTCCAAAATAGAACTGACTGCTCTTTTCTTTTTGTTTGTAGGCTAACTTCATATCGCGCAGAGTGGCTCGATCAGCGGCTTGGAGGCGACATTTTGCAAGGAAGGCGAAGGCTCTCAATCTCAAACTGTTGCCTTTGATTCCGGGCTACAACGCCACACGATGGAACACGGAATTTGACTCCCTCAACAGGTTGGTGCAGGCACAGAAGGTGGGTTGATCTTCCTGCTTCCCATAGTATTTTAGCGCTGACATGTTACACTTCTCACATGTTAGGTGGTCAACAAACTTCTTGCTGAGGACTTGGAACATGTGCGTAGTAGGAAGAGACGCAACAGGAGTTCCCAAAAACCTCGTGGATACTTCCACGAGATTTACTTCTCACCGGACGACTGGAATTCCCTCGAGGAATTGACTAATGAGCTTGCTGTAAGTCCATGACCTTTACTAACTCCTAAGTCAGACTCTTTTACTTATGATTGGGCTTCTCAACAGCCTTTCCTCGACCTGACCAAACGAATGGAGGGCGATGGACCAACCGGATCGATGGTCATTCCCGAGTTCTACGCACTCAAGGTGCACCTTGCAAGTCGTGCAAAGGACCTTCAAGTGGGTGATGCACTCTTACCAATGATTATCTCGATGCAATCTCGTGTCGATAAATACCTCGAAGAAGCTTTACGATGCGATACCACTGTAATGGCAAGTCTTCTCAACCCGTTCTTTCGACTCGAGTTCTACAAGAAGGCTTTTGGGCCTCAAAGTCCCCACACCATCCGTGCGGAAAACCTCCTTCGAACGAAATTCGACAAGCAACGTAAAGAACTCGTGTCAGCTGCTAAGCCCAAGAATAATCCAGCCCCGGCCAAGGAAAACTCGGACTCTCATTCGGTCAATAGCGTGTTTCAGCTATTCACAGCTCAAGAGCCCGAGGTTGAGGTAGATGAAGTCGCAGCCTACCTGAAGGGGTCACATCCGATGTCTCCCCAAGACAATGCCCGTGAAAGCATAGCAATCTTGCCATGGTGGAAGGTATTTTGTTTGTTTTTCTCATATAAAACCTTGCATCAATTTATTCATCATTGCTTTATGTTGTTCTTTGCAGGCAAACAGTACAGTCTTTCCAGTTTTGGCTGCTCTAGCCAGAGACTATATGTCTCTTCCAGCGAGCTCGGCCACAGTCGAACGTACTTTCTCTGCTGCAGCAGATATATGCTCATCCGACAGTGCATCTTTAATCCCACGAACTATCGAATGTTGTGTGGGATCAAGGCTTTGGATCCGTCAAGGGGTGCCTTTGGCACATAAGTATACCGAGGTAAACGATGCAATCAAGACTTTTGGTGGGAAGTTGAAGACCAAAATGGGTAAATGAATCGATTCAGTTTAAAAAAAGTTTCTTTCTTTCAATATAAATATACACGTAGTACACCCCTAATATACATGATGCAATCAAATGCTATGCCGACCCACCTGACCCACCTGTCCCCCCGGTTGCGCAACGGTAACGCAACGGGCAGCGCGGTTGCTGACTGCGCTGCCCATTATGGCTTGAAATCTGATGGGTTGCGCTGCTCCGCAACCCCCCGTTGCTGTTACGCAGCGCAGCGGCCCGGCGTTGGTGAGGGTGATTCATTCTATATAAAACAGACTCATGTTTACTTATAAACACGCTACATACAATGGATGAATTGACAGAAAGAAAAAAGATCACCAAGGAGGACCTTAGATAAATAGAACATGATCAGATAACCGGAAGAAATCTTATAATATACTATATAGGTCTTGATGAGGGCCAAGATTGGTTATAATTTACACTTATCCTCAGGACATTCTGAATGACATATAGTCAACATAGTCAGGTAGAATACAAAAGTGTGTTAGTGATGAGTGAATTTCATAGATTGATTGATGACTGAATTCTGGAAGGTAAACTTACGTTGATTCAGATGTCGACTTTTACAATAGTAAACGATCGGGTTTTTGTCTTTGTCAACCTTTCTGCAAGCTTTTGTTTTTGTGGGAAAATTCAGGAAAGAAACCGATTTTAAAGAGAATCAGTATTCTGATGAATTGCAGTCTTATAAGAGTGATGGTATCTCTAGATAGATAGCTGGAATGATCTGCGTAGTCGATTCCACTTGAGATAATGGATGAAAATTAACTCAACTGATAGGTAGTTTTGGTTTAGTACTAGTTTCAGTGCCGGCATCGCAAGGCAATGATACTTTCGGGCCCAATTCTGTTCCATCGGGAGCAACACAGCCATACGCAGCTGTGAGAAGTTGCAAATTGAAGAAAAAAAGTAAGCGTTCCACGAGTCATTTGCCCATTGATTCGAAAGTGAATTGTTTTTTTCGCACAGGGTGGTTGTTTATCATTCCTTCCACACCATTCACAACTATAGGTGACCACCTCATAACCTGGTTTGGACACTCCGCAGACTTTGAGCATGGGTTTTTTGGAAAGTAAAGTGATCATATGGTTGTGTCAGCTCACATTATCCTTGAAAATAATGGATCATTGGTTGACTTTGAAAAAGTGAAAATGGTGAGCTAGAGTGAACTGGTCGACCTACGATGTTTGCGAGTGTTCCAAGCCGCTGGTAAATCCCAAGAGAAGGTGCATTCTATAGCATTGGCATCTGCGAAGATATGCAACCCGAGATCTTCCGCGAGAAGGAACATGAGCATAAGATAAAGGATTGGGCTCGCTTGCTTCCAAGACATGCTTCACAGAACGATATGTCGATTTATTTAACAAGTCGTAGAGCTCTTTGAATTTAGGAGTCCTTTGTTCAAGTTAACGGTTGTGATTCTATAACGGTTTCACGGCGGAGGATTTGACAGAGAAGTAAGACAAAGTTGATTCCAAAGGGGAAGATCGATGCCTTCCTACAAGTGACCAACTCGTCAAGTTTTAAAGCAGGAATATACATGAGCAGTGCACCAAATGACGTTGAGTATCAGCCGGCAGGGTCTGATCAAGAAGCGCCGTTGTCATTACTTTGGGCATTGCTATGGGTCAGATATTTTTTTTGCGTTGCTTAAAGTGCCTCCTGAGCCGTAGGCTATCCAAACTGAACTAAGTCCACTCGCTTGAGCTGTACTACAACTTCTTCTTTGATTTTAATGCCAATTGAGTTTTCACATACTCTGATTGTCCTTTGTCCCTCCTCCATTTATCTGATTGGCCTACTTTGATGACCGGAATCAAATAAATGCCACATATGTTGCTTTTCCAGTGAAATTGGTCATTTACTAATACCACCAATGCTTTGTTTGAACCATATCTGACTTCCGTCTTTGTTTCTTTTGTTATTTCATCATCATTGTTGCTTGTCAGACAAGGTTGCTTTTGCTCCACAATTCCTATAAATTGCCTCCCTTTCTCAGGAAATTTCATGATTATTACTCAAACTCCCACATAATCCTACAGCATCTCTCCTTTTCATCTCCCCTGCAAATCATATTCAAATTTCCACTCAACTACCTTATTAGCAAACTTTCTTTGACTATACAAGAGGACAATCTTGTAGAGGTACTTAGGTTCTTTACAAATCTTGAGGCCGGGATGGTGTGCTTCCCAAATCAAATACACCTTGGCAATAAAAGTAGTTCGTGAAACGGTCTAAGTATGAGGCTTCCCTTGAAAAATATAAATAGTTGTGCTGAAGGTTTTTTGTGCAACAAATATGTGATTAGTAATTACCAAGTTTGGATCAAGTGGTCTCCCCAATGATTCTGATCTGAAGAGATCACAAAGAGCCCATTTTTTGCATCATAAGACATGAGCAACTATGGCAAGCAGTGAATCCTGTGCCAACATTACTAAAATTGTTGTAATTAAACATATAGTGCTAACTTAACCAAGTCCCTCTTGGACAAGCAAGTAGTTGAAAGAGGGACTGATTTGGCCTGTGAGCCAAATGGTTTTGGCTGGGGACTTTTTCAACCCTCAATAGCCCCATCCGCTGTGAATAAACATCCTCTGGACCTAAGAAAGGCCTTGTGTGCCTGCTCAACCTACACATGCGGGTCTTTTGAGTTTATTTCTTGGGTTTCAGAATGTACTAGAAACCAGACTCAAAAAATTGAGTATTGTGTAACAATCCAGCTTGCCTGGTGTGAGGTTTTGACATGTTGAACAGCTTTCTCACGAATTGTGGTGTTTTTTCCAAACTCTACCCTCTCATTACTCTGAAATAAATGGGCCAGATATGGAGTGAGATGGAATCAGCAGGCACACCAGGCAGTTCTTGGGTCCAGAGGATATTCATCTGCAGGGGACAGAGCTATTGAGGATTGAAAAAGTCACCAGCCAAAAAATTTTGGCACACCCGCCAAATTTCATGTACAAGCCTCCCTTGACTACTTGCTTGTCCAAGAGGGATTTGATTAAGTTAGTGTATAGTGCGCAAGTTGTCTATTTCTATCTTATTTCATATCCAGTGACTGTTTTTTTACTTGATCTAATTCTACTTTTTATCTTTCTGCATGATATTCAAAAGATATACATCATTCAACAAATATATCACACTTGGATCAAATTGGAGGAAGATCCTGTCTGATTTGTTTCATGATAATCTTTGTCATAACCACATGTAGCCTTAGTTCAAGCTACTGTGTTGGATTTGGAAGCCAAGTTGGCAGCTGTTCATCTGAAACGGCTCTCTTTGGCACTTGGTTTCGGCCAAGGAAGGATGTCTAGGGTTCACATGCTAAAAAATAGCTTTTCATTGAGTAATTCCCAAGGGTAACTCAGGATTATATGCTACTGAAAGGTTACACATGCTAAATTAGCAATTACATATGCACATATGTTTGTAAGGATCCTTTGAGATCATCTATGGATCACATCACATGATCTGCACATTGTAACATCCTTGATGTAGTTGTTTCACACTGGATGTGCACTTTAACATTCTTTTGTTGTTCTGACAAGTATATGAACCCTTGATGTTTTCTTTTCTTTTTGTTCTTCATCCTTTACAATAACAATTCAGTTTACATAGCTTAAACACTCAATCAGTCCATCAATATCAACCTTCAAAAGCCCTTATATAATTCTCCTTCAAGCCCTTTTACTATCAGTAGCCATGGATTCATGGTCTTTCAAATATTTCTCTCTTTGAGGAACATTGTCAAGCACTAGCTGTAAGGCTCTATACAAGAGCCTTCACTGGGGTCCGGAAACTAGTCCAGCACAACTCTCACGGGAGCAAAGACGGACTTGGAACTTCTGTATAATTACGAGCTAGCTCTGGAAAGTCCAAATAGATGCTCTCAGTGGAGTCAGTAAACACTCTAAAGTAGAAAGAACAAGAGAAAGAGGAAAAAGGTTGAAATCTCACCTAGCTCTGAAAAGTCCAAATAGATGCTCTCAGTGGAGTGAGGACTCTCCAAAGCCGGGCGTTGGAGAGAAGTATAAAGTATCCTTGTCTGATCCCATGAACTCATCCCATAGCCTTCTGCCTACATGTGTACCCTCACACTAGCCTACATATGTGAAACATGTGTAACCAACTTGTAACACCTGTATATCAACTATTACATGTTTGTCTCCTTGCTCATCAAGCTTCCTTATTGACAGTTGCATTTTGCGCATACACAATGCCTATATGCCTCCTTGTAAGTGCACCCTACCGCAATGGCACAGCCTGCAACACAATACAGTATTTTGAATCACTGCTTGTGTGTTGCCCCTACAACATCTAGCCTCATCACCACCATCAAAGAACGGAGAAAAAGCAACAGAACCATCATCAACCCCCCAAACTAAAGATGTCTAAGCCACAAGCCTCAATTTATGCCCCACCTCAAGAGAATTTAAGAACTAAATAAACACAACATAGCTGCTATAACACAGTTCATGTCAGGACACATCAATTCTACAGGGGTCCAAAGGCACGACAAGACCTGTGGAGTTCCATAAAGGATTGGGGATAACGGCCCGAGGATCAGACCATTGAGTAATGGCTTGGGGCAAGCTACATAGATACTTGCCCAAGGAGCGTGAGATGATACATGTGAAAATTTTCTATCATCACACCACATCTATCCCCAAATCCCTTTTCATCACCAAAGCAAGGAAAGATCTCAACTTTCCTTATAAACACTGATTTTTCTTTTGCCTCCCACCCACCCCTGCTCCCGCCACGCAGAGAACCACCCTAGCTAGGCGGTCTACGGCCTCAGGGCCACCCCCACACACGCGAAAACCTTCTCAGCATAAGAAGGTTCTAGCAAGATAGATTTACTGTGCTAGGATAAGATTCTTTGTATACAGACACAACAGTAGGAAATAAACACATACACAACATAATCACATGATCTAAGAGTGTTCTGGTATGATCCATGACACATGACCCGGGTATGTCACAGACCCGTGACAGGTGCCAGACCAGAGCCGCACTTGTACCCAGACCTCACACTATAGTTGCCTCTTCTTCATGCTACACCAACTATAACACCTAGATCTGGCATCAGTCTCTCACCCTCTATCCCCAAGCCGTGACCCCTTGCCCGGTCATAACATATTGTAGCATCCATTTCAAGATAGAAGGGAACAGAAACTGAAAAGAAGAAAAGAAGAAATAAAGAAAGAAGAAAAGAAGAAAGTTAAAAAAAATTTTAACCAAGCAAAGAAGTCAAGAAAGAAGATTTTTTTTTATCTCTCATATTATAGAAGTTGAAGTTAGTAAGATTACAAGTTTATTGTCAAAGAACCACCATTGTCACCACCCCACCACCACCTCACAACGCCTTCCTACCAATTACCCTTTGAGGACGCTACCTTGCTTGAGGACAATACTTGGCACGATATCACACCCGGCGACGAACCATCGGATAACATGGCCACCGCCAACGATATCGAACGCCTATCCCGGCAGATGGCAGACCTTAATGCTAGACTGCTCGAAGAATCCGCTCTTCGTCAGACTGCCGAAGCCCGTGTGGTCGCCCTCAAAGCCGCTGCTCGATCACCACCACCACCTACTGGTGTTCCCGCCCCCCCACCAGTTGATTCTACACCTGGTGGCGATACTCGTATCCAAGTTGCACGCCCCGAGCGATTTATGGGCGCTAGAGGAGCTACCGTCGAAGCCTACGCCAGTCAAGTAGGGTTATATGTTGCGGTTAATTCGAGCCTCTTCACGACCGAAACCACAAAGGTCATGTTTGCTTTCTCTTACCTCGGTGGTGATGCCATCCAATGGGCCCAACCGTTTTTACGCCGGGCACTGCAACCTATCGAGGGGGAGACTCCCGTTACCTTCAAGGAGTTTACCGACGCCTTTGAATCAGTCTTCTTTGATTCTGATCGTCGCCAACGTGCGGAAAAGGCCCTGCGTGCTCTGCGCCAAACCAAATCGGCGGCTGAGTACACGATCCAGTTCAATCAATTAGCACCGACAACTGGATGGGAACTTACTACCCTTATCAGTCATTATTGTCAAGGGTTGAAGACCGATGTACGTGTTGCGATGATCCGAGAGCAATTCAAATCGCTCAAAGACATCACCCGGTTTGCTTGTGCCATCAATGGCGAACTTCGTGGCGAGGCTGTCTCCTACACTGCACCTCCTCGAGCCAGTACCTCAGACGCGATGGACATCTCGGCGACTCGGTTTGCCATATAGTCGGATGAGTACAACAAACGGATGAGGGAGGCTTTATGCTTCAGTTGTGGTAAAAGTGGTCATCGAGCTAGGTGGTGTAAGGGGAAG